TGAGGACATATCAAATGAAGCTCAACCCAGCTAAATGTGCCTTTGGAGTCTCTTCGGGAAAATTCCTTGGCTTCATGGTGAACAACCGGGGAATCGAGGCCAACCCCGAAAAGATTAAAGYCGTGCTCGAGATGGAGGCACCTAAGACRCTGAAGCAGCTTCAGTGCCTCAATGGCAGGATTGCGGCCYTRAACCRGTTTGTTTCAAGATCGACAGATAAGTGCCTTCCTTTCTTCAAAGTCCTACGRARGAAAKRGYCGTTTGAATGGACAGCGGAGTGCGAGCAAGCATTTCAGCAGTTGAAAAGCTACCTCTGTTCGGCACCTTTGCTCGCCAAGCCCATGTCGGGGGACAAGCTCCAATTGTACTTAGCAGTGTCTGACAGTGCCGTCAGCTCGGCCCTAATCAGGCAAGAGGAAGCGCGGCAAAACCCGATCTACTACACAAGCAAGGCTATGACCGAAGCCGAGACTAGATACCCTCAGATGGAAAAGTTGGCTCTCGCTTTAGTCACCTCGGCCCGACGGCTTAGACCATACTTCCAAGCCCATACTGTGGTGGTGCTCACTAACTTGCCCCTAAAARACATCTTCCATAAGCCAGAAGCTTCTGGACGCCTGATGAAGTGGGCAATGGAGCTAAGTGAATACGACATCCAGTTCGAACCTAGAGCTGCGTTGAAAGGGCAAGCGGTGGCAGACTTCATAGCCGAGCTCACACCACCCTCCGAGCCTGGCGAGTCCGACCTACCGTGGACAATCTATGTCGACGGATCCTCCAATGAGAAGGGGTGCGGGGCCGGGGTCCTCTTGCTCGGGCCAGGAGGCGAGCGATTTGAGTATGCCTTGCGGTTCGGCTTCCGGACTTCTAACAACGAGGTGCGATGCCAAAACCACTGACGAACTTAACATTCAAATCTTCAAGGTAAAGGGGCGATGTGAAAAGTTCAAAATGATCAAGCCTTTGAACTTGAGGGTACGAGGTGCGATATGAAGAATAGCTACGGACTTAGGATTTTAGCCTTTTAACGTTTTTTAAGTTGAGGGTGTGATGTTAAAAAATCCAGAGTTGGTACAATGTATTGAATACTAGACAGAGATTCGAATTCAAAATTTCAAGTATTTTTTAAGGCGCGACCTCAAAAGTACGAGGTGCGAGGTGACATTGGCTTTAGCTAAAAGAAAAAGCAAAGAAAGGAAGGCAACAAAGTAAAAACAAATGGGAGCTTCTTTATTGAATGGAGAGCAGACCCAAGGCTTATAGACCTTGCAGCTCTGCCCTGACACTTACAAACAAAGGAGAAGAGAAGAAAGACAGAGAAAGGCCTCATGAAGGATGATCGCCTAAGAGCCTGCCTGAGGAGTTGCCCTCCTGAGTGGTGCCGACCTGGTCCTCTTCGAGATCGGAGTAGTCAGAGTCCAGATCTCTGACATACTTATCCACCCACGCTTGGGGGCCAGGGGTGCCGCCAGGCCCAGACGCCCACTGCTCGGCATACCTCTTTTTCAGACCACTGAGATCGATCTGAAGGTCAGGCATGTCGGAAGCAATGCCCTTCATGAGGAACTTGAAGCCCGCGTCAGAGAAGTCTTTGGCAAATCCATCGAAGTCAGGATGTTGCCTAAACGATTCCTCCAATAGGACTCCATTGCTGAGATGCTCCTTTGCCGTCTCCAGCTCGGCAGTCGCATGCTTCAGCTCTTCATCCTTCGCTTCAAGCGCTTGGAGCATCTCGTCCTTCTCCTTCAGGAGTTGGAACTTCTCCTTCTCCAAGCCCCTGGTGATAGCATGGGCAGCTCGGAGCTGGGCCTTGCGTCTGTCCTCTTCCTTCTTCAGCAGCTC